TACAGCGCTTTACACAGTGCGCACTGGGGGTGGTGGAGGAGGGATCCCCTCATATGACTGTAAAGCTTGGGTCTACAGTACAGTAGTACATATGAAAGCGCTATATGCCTTATTCGCTCATTCTTTAGTCGGTTTCACGTGTGAATGGGGATTGTTTTGACAGTGGTGTCGTGTGTACGCTGAAAACTCAAAGGAAAAACTTCTCCGTTTTAGTTAACAGTTAATGTAGTATCAGGAATCTAAGTCGTTGTAGTTCTGAAAGAAGGGATTTTTTGGAAACAGCATGCCGACTAAAAGCAGGAGCCGCTGGATTCCCAGGAGCTTCTGCATCTCCTCTCCTCAGGGATCCTCTGTCTGCGTATCCCAGATCATCAGGATCTTCTGTCCTCTGCGTGTCTCAGATCTTCAGGATCTTCTCAGATCTTCTGTCCTCTGCGTGTCTCAGATCTTCCAGGATCTTCTCAGCTCTTCAGGATCTTCTGTCCTCTGCGTGTCTCAGATCTTCAGGATCTTCTCAGACTTCAGGATCTTCTGTCCTCTGCGTGTCTCAGATCTTCAGGATCTTCTCAGACTTCAGGATCTTCTGTCCTCTGCGTGTCCCAGCATGAACATGAATTCGGAGACGGTTCTTGTCTGTCACAGACTCCGGCTTCAGCACCAGTGGAAGACCTCACCGTCACTCCACCCACCAAACCTCTTCCCAGAGACCTTGGCATCAGTGTATTGTCAGTTTATGTTTTTTAATTTGAAGTACCGTCACTCCACCCACCAAACCTCTTCCCAGAGACCTTGGCATCAGTGTATTGTCAGTTTATGTTTTTTAATTTGAAGTAGATATTGTATAGCTGATATTGGTTAATATATATTCATTCAGTTTATTGTGGAGTTCAGAATAAGAAGACTACCTTATTAGTGCAGAGAAACAACGGTTTATCTTTTCATTAAAAAAAAAGTATGACTGTCATTGTCACATCCAACACAATCACAAGCATATCGATCTCACGTACTTCACTGCTTTATCCACTCATGGTATTCATTTAGTAATTCCTCTCGTCTATCTCTTGTTAATAAACTCCCTTTTATTACACTTGTGTTGATAATACAGTAAGAGGCTCTACAAGTTAACGATATCAATCCTTCAGATTGATCAGATGACAAACTTCCTACAAGGTTTTTGATTGCTCTTAATGGTCCAGGTGAAATTGCTCAGCTGGTGCCCAGTACAATGGGAAAGAACCATCCGACACTCATTACCTCACAATATTAATTCGGTACCTGTTGTGAGAAGGTTAGAATATATTTATTGTCCACCAGGGTGAAACATTTGTCTTTGGAAACTAAATACAGGGCTCCTATGGAGTGTGGATTGAGATCCAGATCTGGATAAAAAAAAAAAATCCTCTACACCATCAATACTAGCAAAAGTATCAAAATTACCTCATTGGCCGCAACGTTTCGGTCATTCAGCCATTTCCATATGCCAATAAAGTAATTGTGATACTTTGGCAAAGAATTGATAGTGTGGAGGATTTTCTTGTTTTTGGTTTTGTTGGGCCTTTCTCCTACACACACCTATGCCTTCAGGTGTGCGAGGGGGATTGAGAAATATCTGTGCTTCTAGACTATTGCTGCTATGAGTGTTTTCAGATGTGTAGGAATAGGTGGTGCCCGCGAGGCAAACTTACAATCAAACAAAACCTTACAATTGGTTTTAGTTTTACACTATAGAAGTTTACCCGCAAATGTGCAAAGGATCAATCCAACACTTATCGTGAATCCCCACCTGTACATGCGAAAAAGTAGAAAAGCCAGAACAATTAGACCTATAAAGACGAAAAACAAGCGTAAACATCAGTACGGTGGAAGGATTAGATTGAGACAATCCTGAGAAGTGAAACCCAATTTGCTTGTTTTGTCAGGTAAAGAAATGATTGTGTAGACCGCTCTCTAAAACTCACTAGTGTCTGTCATTCACAGAAATCTCAGAGACGATTATGCTGATACACGTGTGGATGGGTGGCAATGCTGTTAGTACTTAACCAACACAAAGAACAGCAATGCTAATGCTAAAGAGCTACTGACATCAAACAAACCAATCACAGAAGATCAACGAGACAGAGCAGGATTATTAGAGAATAAACAAACTTTATTTTGAAGAGTGTTACACAATGGGTTGGGTGGGGCATAAAAACATGACAGATCATTCAAAGCTGCTTAAAAAAAGAACAAGAGAGAGTCAATCCTACGATGAACTGCTATACACAGGGTCCATGAGGCAGACAGGAGAAGCAGAGAGAGAGAGAGAGACGGAGAGAGAGAGAGAGAGAGAGAGAGAGAGAGAGAGAGAGAGAGAGAGAGAGAGAGAGAGAGAGAGAGAGAGAGAGACATTAGCACTGGCAGTTTGGTCGCGTTTGATCATTTCATCAAAAGTATCGGAAAGAGATTAAAAAGATTTAAAAGGGCAAACAGGCCGACTTCCTCAAAATCATCAGATTAAAAACCAAAAAAAAAAAAACAGGTTTCTACAAATATATATGAATATTGGTGCCAGGAAAGGGCTGGAAATCCCAAACTTTCCAAAGAGCTGCCTAGGTTTGAAGTTTTCTGGAGTTTGTAAGGTTTCGTCTTGTTGCTCAGAGGTAGAAGGCGTTCCTCCTCCCCTTGGTGGAATGTGTGTGTGTGTGTGTGTGCTTGACTGCATAGAGGAAAGATTGGCACTGCCGTCCACCAGTGAGAAATCACACAGTGCCACTGTCCTGTGCTGCTGGTCCCTTATAAAACACATCATGAAAACCAATCAATCAATCTTTAGCCCCGCCCCCATCGCCCCCCACCCCCTAAAGGTTCAGTATCACCTTCATATGCTCACGCTCCTCATATTATTATTATTATTATTATTATTACACTGTACTCCTCCACGACGTGATTCTTCTCCAAATCCAGACTAGGAATGTGAATTACTAATCAACAATAAAAATAACAGAAATCTAGCCTTCGTAGATGGTAAAGACAATCTTTTGAGGGAAAGAGATAAAACAAACACTAAAAAAATAAAATGCTACAGATGTTAGCTAAGTGGTTCTGAATGATAGACGATGAAGCAGTTTCTGTGCCGGACCAGAGCTGCTCTCCTCCACAGATGACCTCTGACCCCTGGAGGAACGTGCGGGACTTCAGCTCTGGGGAAGAGCAAACACAGTTATTACACACACACACTCACGAGCAGAGTGGAGTACATGAGATCAAACTAATGGCTCCGTATTCACGACACTATCAACATTTCCCTGGCACATCTTACCCCGAAGCTCCTGACACACTTCCGTTCGTTTCATAATGGCTTCCGTGGTTTTACACGCTGATACGTGTTTTAGTGCTGATTAATCTGGACTCGTTTGACCTGCTCGTAGTGTCTCACTAATCATGCACTTATTTTATTACTTGATACTGCCTGAGATTTTTAAATTTTAATGACACATTCGTAGGTTCACGGTTCTCTGATGTCGATAATAATTAAAATAATTATTATTATTAGTGGAGTGTTTTAACTTTAATTATAAAAATGAAGACAGAAGTACATTACTGTGGTAAATTACTATTGCAATGTAAAATTAAAACTATTTGTAAAGAGTAAATGATAACTATAATGTGATGAATCGCACCGCGCTTCACTCTGGAACACGCAGCGCATCAGACTATAGTTATTTAACTAACCCAGCCTTTGATCATGATTATTGTGCAGCCACATTTATTCAGTTTAATTGATATACTCGTTTCCTTTTCCATCCACTCACTAACCTCCAGTTGGGGAACGAGGAGACTTTTCTAAATACACGACGAAACCACGCAGTTTGTTATATTAGCTGATGACACATCTAAAGATCTTTGCGCACCGAGTCCGAAATTTGCGTATTCGTCATCCTAAAAATTGGTCACGCACAGACACCTTGCACACTGAGTCTGATGCGCATTAATGAATCTGCTGCGATAAAATTCACAAAACAATACAAAATGGAGTCTTCAAGCAGCGAGGATGATTTTGCTGTCCTCTCTCTTCTTAAAAACAGAAACAGAAAGAGGAATCCATCCAACAATCCAGAGATTGCGTAGAGAGGAAGGAAAGTCAGGATGTCAGAGGCTCAGTTTGATGATTTGCTAGTGATACTGGAGCCACATATCAAAAAGAAAACCACCAATTTCTATGAACCAATTGATCCTGAGCAGTTCTGGAATTGTCAACACACCTCAAAACGCTTGCTACGGATGCGCAAAACGCAGAAAATTTAACCCGATCCGAATGACGAAAGTTTCGGAGGCAGTGTGTAAACGTGATTGACAACGTGAGGTCGTATTTATTTTTCAACGTGCAAAAATGTTGGACTCAGTGTGCAAGGAGCTTTACCCCCTCTATCTTCTTGAACTAGTGCACTAGAACAGCTTCTTTAAAAACCGATGATCAGGCACTCAAATTCAGTGGCGGGAGCATTTTAGCTGAGTTGTTCTGAGTGTTTCGGCGGAGGCGGATGCTAACACATGCTAATCCTCCACAGTCAAGCTCATGTGGCGTGACGTGCTGAGAAACAGAGCTCAGCTTTACTTTCTAGTGAACGAAACGCTCTAGAAATGCCTCTCCGACGGCCTCTTCATCCGTCACATGGTTACCAGACACAGTGTAATCTCTGAGCGGTGGCAGAGCTGTGATATTTCTAATCCCAGTCTCCCAGTGTTGACATAAGGAGGGAAGCGTATAAGGAAGCGCTTTCATCTCTCCGCACAGGGAACTTCAGTGTGTCGTCGGGGCAGAGGTCACCGGGAGACGTGACAGCGCTTCCCCTCAGAGCCGATACGGCAGCTCCACCAAAACACAACTAATCTAAAAGGCTTAACAACTGTTTCCAGTCATAGCTGCGAATAGAAAAATTTTAATTTCACATAAAACTGTTGTGAATAAAGCAGCATTTCCATCTCACATGTTGAGAACAAAATCGGGGAAATTCCTGGGAAATTGGCACAAAATATCAGTTCTGTCATGACAGCTCTCAGGAGATTGGCATGGTAATAGAGATTGTACCGAGACTTGCTACTGCCGATACACTCACAGACATCACTGTGAGCCTGTAAGACATGCTGCTGCTGCCAGACATGATTTAACCCGTCGCAGATCTACACAGGTGGAGCTGGGGAAGAGGGAGGGCTTCTGAGAGAGCGCTGCTGCTGCACATGTGACAGACATGCTTTAACCCGTCGCAGATCTACACAGGTGGAGCTGGGGAAGAGGGAGGGCTTCTGAGAGAGCGCTGCTGCTGCACATGTGACAGACATGATTTAACCCGTCGCAGATCTACACAGGTGGAGCTGGGGAAGAGGGAGGGCTTCTGAGAGAGCGCTGCTGCTGCACATGTGACAGACATGCTTTAACCCGTCGCAGATCTACACAGGTGGAGCTGGGGAAGAGGGAGGGCTTCTGAGAGAGCGCTGCTGCTGCACATGTGACAGACATGATTTAACCCGTCACAGATCTACACAGGTGGAGCTGGGGAAGAGGGAGGGCTTCTGAGAGAGCGCTGCTGCTGCACATGTGACAGACATGCTTTAACCCGTTGCAGATCTACACAGGTGGAGCTGGGGAAGAGGGAGGGCTTCTGAGAGAGCGCTGCTGCTGCACATGTGACAGACATGATTTAACTTGCCGCAGATCTACACAGGTGGAGCTGGGGAAGAGGGAGGGCTTCTGAGAGAGCGCTGCTGCTGCACATGTGACAGACATGCTTTAACCCGTCGCAGATCTACACAGGTGGAGCTGGGGAAGAGGGAGGGCTTCTGAGAGAGCGCTGCTGCTGCACATGTGACAGACATGATTTAACTTGCCGCAGATCTACACAGGTGGAGCTGGGGAAGAGGGAGGGCTTCTGAGAGAGCGCTGCTGCTGCACATGTGACAGACATGATTTAACCCGTCACAGATCTACACAGGTGGAGCTGGGGAAGAGGGAGGGCTTCTGAGAGAGCACTGCTGCTGCACATGTGACAGACATGAATAAACCCGTCGCAGATCTACACAGGTGGAGCTGGGGAAGAGGGAGGGCTTCTGAGAGAGCGCTGCTGCTGCACATGTGACAGACATGCTTTAACCCGTCACAGATCTACACAGGTGGAGCTGGGGAAGAGGGAGGGCTTCAAGAGAGAGCGCTGCTGCTGCACATGTGACAGACATGATTAAACCCGTCGCAGATCTACACAGGTGGAGCTGGGGAAGAGGGAGGGCTTCTGAGAGAGCGCTGCTGCTGCACATGTGACAGACATGCTTTAACCCGTCGCAGATCTACACAGGTGGAGCTGGGGAAGAGGGAGGGCTTCTGAGAGAGCGCTGCTGCTGCACATGTGACAGACATGCTTTAACCCGTCGCAGATCTACACAGGTGGAGCTGGGGAAGAGGGAGGGCTTCTGAGAGAGCGCTGCTGCTGCACATGTGACAGACATGCTTTAACCCGTCGCAGATCTACACAGGTGGAGCTGGGGAAGAGGGAGGGCTTCTGAGAGAGCGCTGCTGCTGCACATGTGACAGACATGCTTTAACCCGTCGCAGATCTACACAGGTGGAGCTGGGGAAGAGGGAGGGCTTCTGAGAGAGCGCTGCTGCTGCACACATGACAGACATGCTTTAACCCGTCGCAGATCTACACAGGTGGAGCTGGGGAAGACGGAGGGCTTCTGAGAGAGCGCTGCTGCTGCACATGTGACAGACATGCTTTAACCCGTTGCAGATCTACACAGGTGGAGCTGGAGAAGAGAGAGGGCTTCTGAGAGAGCGCTGCTGCTGCACATGTGACAGACATGCTTTAACCCGCCGCAGATCTACACAGGTGGAGCTGGGGAAGAGGGAGGGCTTCTGAGAGAGCGCTGCTGCTGCACATGTGACAGACATGCTTTAACCCGTTGCAGATCTACACAGGTGGAGCTGGGGAAGAGGGAGGGCTTCTGAGAGAGCGCTGCTGCTGCACATGTGACAGACATGATTTAACCCGCCGCAGATCTACACAGGTGGAGCTGGGGAAGAGGGAGGGCTTCTGAGAGAGCGCTGCTGCTGCACATGTGACAGACATGCTTTAACCCGTCGCAGATCTACACAGGTGGAGCTGGGGAAGAGGGAGGGCTTCTGAGAGAGCGCTGCTGCTGCACATGTGACAGACATGATTTAACCCGTCACAGATCTACACAGGTGGAGCTGGGGAAGAGGGAGGGCTTCTGAGAGAGCGCTGCTGCTGCACATGTGACAGACATGATTAAACCCGTCGCAGATCTACACAGGTGGAGCTGGGGAAGAGGGAGGGCTTCTGAGAGAGCGCTGCTGCTGCACATGTGACAGACATGCTTTAACCCGTCACGGATCTACACAGGTGGAGCTGGGGAAGAGGGAGGGCTTCAAGAGAGAGCGCTGCTGCTGCACATGTGACAGACATGATTAAACCCGTCGCAGATCTACACAGGTGGAGCTGGGGAAGA